ATTTGGCGGCGAAAGGACCTCCTTAAACAATTTGCTAATTAGAACGTCGATATCATGTCTATATTTATTAATTAATTAATTAATTAATTATTTATTTAGTGTCACTGGAGCTCTGTTGCTCAACTTTGGATCCGTTTTGATCTGGGCAGTCGTGAAATCAGTTTTTGGGATGAATAAAGTGACGCAGTGCACATTAGCAGGAACTGCTACAGGAGCCGCGCTTATCATAGGTGGTCACAGTTACCTCAATTTCGTCGACAGCCAAGTCGCCAAGAAGTAGCGGGTGTTTATTTATTTATATTCATAATATTGTTAGATTTTCTTATGAGATACACACACCACTCATTGCTATATTTACAAATAAAACTCCAAAAAATAATCAATATTTTTCTTCAATTCCCATCGCTTATACAAAGTAACTAATTAATTGTACCACTTTTTTTATCAGTCATATTTTAATTCTGTTAAGTGTTTGCTGTTTTTCTTGAAACTTTATAAAAATTGTTATCCTAGTGTTATAATTATGTTGAATTTAAATCAAATACAAGCTATTAAAAAAAAAAATTATCTTACTTATTTAATTTTTATTTCTGTGGATTATTAAATTTTTTTTTTTTTTTATTATTCAAACAGGTATATTGAACTTTTAAAATAAATATTCAATTTTAATTGTCGGAAAATAAATCCTTTTATTAATTAATTAAATTCGAATTTACAAAACTCGGTTTTTGATTCACCAGACCATTTTATATTACAACCAGCGCTTAAAGACTAACATACAATTAATAAATAATACAAGCGATGCTTAAACGTTTAAAGATTCAATAATTTTTTTTTTTTTTTCAACGCCTGCTTACAAAATAAAATAATATTTATCAGTTAATATAAAAAGTAGAAATACAATAATTATAAATTAAAACCTAGCGGTAAACTAACAGTAGTCTATTGAAAAATTACATTTAGATGTATTTACATGATGAAAGTTATTAAGAATTAACTGAATAATGATTTTTACTACCAAGTTTAAGCTCGTAAATTTGATTAATACATCTAGCTCTATCAACCTCCAAATTTATTGTCAAGTTTGTCGTTATAAATATTTATCCATAGGATAAATCATCGAACGTATTCATGAAGCTTCATGAATCGTAAGTTACAATTTACTCCTGCTTCTGTCATAAAAATTAATACATTTTACTTTTTTAGGTTTAGAGCCATTGAGACGGATCTTAGACAACATCCTCGACTTTTTAACAAACTCGATTATTTAGAAGTATTACTGTACAATTTTTATAAATTTATCAATGTGGTTATAATTTTTCATGATATATATTTTTAAAAAAAATTATTTTGAATTATCAATTAGCAGATAAATAAATTCTTAAGTAGGATTTTTAAGTTTGTAAAACCTAAATCTTTATCTTTTTTTTTTAATGCTAATTGATAAACTCAGGATAATTTTTTTTATAAAATTTACAGTTTAAAATAATGATAATTATTTACAAATGGGGTCAAACATTTTAATTTTCATTTTTTTTTAACAAAATATTTTTTTTTTTTAATTTTGATAAGGTAAAAGACCCAGTTATTGACACTTGCAATTTTATTCTAATTAAAAAAATTAAATGTTCTCAAAAAATCAATTTTCTTAAAATTTATAATTAAAAAATTATATTTATTAATTTATTAGAGTTGATTTGATTTTTTTAATTAAAATAAAATTACAAGTGTCAATAACTGGGTCTTATACCTTAATTTTTTTTTTTTATATATATTAAATAAGGTATAAGACCCAGTTACTGACACTTGCAGGTTTATTTTAATTGAATAAAATAAATCGACTCTAATAAATTAATAAATTTAATTTTTTCATTATAAATTTTAAGATAATTGGTTTTTTGAGAACATTTTTACTTTTTTTTTTTAATTGTTCGTTTTTTTTATGTACTTAAAAAAAAAAAAAAAATATCAAAAACATCAAAAAAAGATAAAATAGTAATTTTATCAAAAAAAAAAATAAGAGCCAAAATTTTTTCCAACTTTTGAAGACAAAAAAGCTATCAAAATATTAATTTTTTGATATTTTCAATATCACCACCATAAATCCGCCCTAAAAACAAGTAGAATGAAGAAAAATTAAAAAATGTTAATTTTTCATCTAGATATGGCCAAAAATAATTTAAATTACCATAATAATTATAACTACGTTGATTTTTTAAATTAATATTTTAACTTATTTAAATATTGTAAAACAATTGTATTTTAATTTTAAAAAGTCGAGGATATTTAAGAATATTTTTAAAGTAAAAAAAACTGATCTTAATTTTATAAATTTTACAAAAATAAATTTGTAAATTAAAGTAATAATAATAATAATTAATAATAATCACTTAATTTATCGTAAATAAATATCACGAATAAATAAGCGACCGATAAGTCTTCGAGTAACTGAAACTCAATAACAGACTCGGGAATTATTTAAGGAATTATAAAATTAATACTTGTACATTTATCATTATAATTAAAATTATTATTATTAACTTATTAAGAGTGTCCAGCTTCCGTGGTTGACGGAGTTGTTGAAGACACAAGCGCATCAGTAACAGCATTAGCGACTTTTGTAGATATCCTGTCGATACTATCAGTAATTAAAGTGATCGGGTGATCTTGGTCAGTGTGATTATGTCCCTCGTGGTCTTCTTCGTGTTCATGCGAGTCGTTATGACTGTGCTCGAGTCCATGCGAGTGTCCATGGCCATGTGAGTGAGCATGAGAAGCTGCAAAAGATAAATCAACGATATCAGATAAGCTACCTGTTGGTATTTATCCTCAGAAGCTATAATACAAGTGATTAATAAAAGAAAGTAAAATAAATATTGTTGACGCCAACGCTTTCCGGATTTACCAAAGTAGGTATCATTTTCTCCTAGAGTTGACTATCGGAAAAACAAACCTGTAGAGGCAGAAAGCATAATCTAGCTATTGAATTTGCTAATAGTAATTTAGGTACACGAGAAAGCTGTCGAAAGTCGGTCAATCAAGCGACTAGTGCGTCGACCTCGACAAAGGTCTACTGCCAGTACCGGAGAAAGCTCACTGATTAAACACATCTAGGTCATCTGGGTCTATTTATTTATAAATATCTGGATCTATAAAAGTTAACTGGGTACTAGTCTATGAGGTAATCTATATTATTAAGAGAATAAGAAAAATTTTGTCTCCTGGATAGTCATATGATAAAATCAGTTTTTTCAGTGTCATTGTAAAGGTAGCTTTTAACTTGAGAAATAGTGAAATTTTTAAAGATATAAGCTCATCCCGATGTAACACTCATCAAGACCTTTCATTTGAGTACCCACATCAATTTTTCATATATATATATATATATCATATATATGTATATATGAAAAATATATAAAAATGCATGTGGGTACTCAAATGAAAGGTCTTGATGAGTGTAACATCAGGATGAGTTTATATCTTAAAAAATGTCAACAATTAAGAAATTACATTGTATCTTCTTAACTATTGACATTTTTAAAGATATAAGCTCATCCCGACGTTACATTCATCAAGACCTTTCATTTGAGTACCCACATCAATTTTTCATATATTTATATATATGTATATATGAAAAATATATGAAAATTGATGTGGGTACTCAAATGAAAGCTCTTGACGAGAATAACATCGGGATGAGCTTATATCTTAAAAAATGTCAATATTTAAGAAAGTATAATGAAATTTAACATAAGTCATTATTTAATAAAACAAAATTTTATTTTTTTTAATTCATAAGTCATGCAGTCACATATTGACTGCAAGGTTGCTAGTAATCATTATTATCTTTTATCAATAAAATCACTCAATATTGTCATTGATAAAATCAAATTTTTTGCTGCAATTTTAAAATAATTCTTTCAAATATTTAATATTACAGCGAAAATATTGATCGTGTAAAAAAATTTTTTATAGGACCAATATTTTTGCCATAATATCAAAAATTAGAATCATTAATTATGAATTATTGTTTTGAATTTGCGAAAATATTAACGCAATTAATTAACAATAATAATTGAAAATAAAATTCCAGGTAGATGAAAGCGTGCAAATAATTTACCAGGAAGTGTCACTGCCTGTATTTATGTTTGTTGAACCACCGAGGACAATATCTAATTGCGCAACGCATCCGGAACTATTCAAATCGACAGAATTTGAATAGAAACATTAATTTCTCATCATTGAAATATTTATTTGAAAAAAAATTCACGTAAATAGAACCTGAATATTTAAAAAACATACTGACTAATAATATTTATTATTTACAATGAAAATCGATAGCGTGCTGACGAAATGAAGAGCCACTAGAATCAATAATACTCTTTATATTACCAGACACAGAATAACTAAAGAGGTAAAAGCTCTGGAATAAATATTCTTCAATATAATAGCAATGATTGGACGTGAAGAGATGGATAATATAAAATAATAAAAAATAAAAAATAAAAATGAAGACGAATTCAGGAGCGATTAATGTAACGGTGGATCAATGCCAAACGTTCATCAGCACGCGATACACGTGGCCGTGACCCCGCCTCATCACCGTGACCTGACGGCTAGTTGAGTTTCGTGGATAAGTCGGAATTTGTTTTACACAAGTGTAATGTAAAGCTTACTTTTAAAGAGAGTACCAGCTCTCTCTTTCTCTCACTTGATTTAAAACTCATCGATCGCTTTAAATCTTTTCACAACGTCAGACAACGACTACCTGCTCTACAATCTGCAATGGATATGGATATTTAATACATATGTAGACCGTACATGCAACTAAAAGTAAAATGCAAGGACGTGTCTTTAAATAGCTCTGGGTTTAGTTGATCGTTAACGCCAACCGTACTGAATTAAACGAAAGAACAAGTATCTTTGACCTTTTGTCGTAAAATAAAAATTGCTTTCGCCCGAGTGAACCTATTGTTCCAGTTGTTAAATTCCTCGTAACAAAAGCAATAAAAAAAGGTGTTCAAAGAAATAAATTACTGAGCTATTTTAGCACTTTCTCAACAGGAGTTAATTTTTTAAAATAAATTATTCTTCTTTTTTATCTCCATATTAATTTATAGCTAAGTCATGTAAAGTAAAGCATGTGCTCATAAATGGACCAACTAAAAAAAATGACCGCCGGTCATTTTTCGAATTTAATGACGATTTCCGAGAAATTATAAATAAAACGACTTAAAAAATCATTATAAACTTGACCGAAAAATTTTTTCCATTTAAATACACGGAAAGAACAAGATGAGACTGAGTATCATCCCAGATTATACTGAGTGAAAACAAATTTCAGATAGTAGCTAGTATAATCCAGATTACATTGAGAAAAAACAAAATACTTTTATTAAGAAAATTTTCTTGATACAAGAATTTATGTTCTTGATAATTTTCAAGAATATATATTCTTAGCTTAAGAAATTGTTAAATTGATTGAAATAATTTTTACTTAATTTAAATAAAGCTATTCCTTTATCTATTATCCAAAGATAAATATTGATGTTCTTTTCTTCAGAAATTAATAATTAATAATAATTGAATATTTGATCGTCAGCGAGTTTCTTGAGCCAAGAAATTGTTAATTGAGCAAAAGTATTTTTTTTTCTCAGTGTGTAATGTAATGAGTATAATCCAAATATCACGCAGTGTAATCTGGATTTTTCTAGCTACTGTCTGAAATTGGTTTTCACTCAGTATCATCTAGTTCTTCCGTGTAAAAAAGAAAACTAGAAAAATTACAGTTTCAGATTGTAATTATTACAGATTTTATAAGAATTACATTGTAGAATGTTATATTTACATTGAAAGCTCTAAAAATTAACATTTAAAGTTTGAATTTAGAAAAATGTTATTTTGAACTGTAATTTTTCTAGTTTTGATTACGACGGGAAAGATTTTACATTTTATACTGTAAGTATTCCCGTTTTCTTTTTCCCGTGCGTCAGAATTTTTAGATAAATTTTATTTTAAATATTTAAAATATTTAGGTTGATGAAATAGGTTGGTTTAATTTTTTTTTTGAGAAATTTTCTTAAAAAAAAAAAATCCTTATGAATTTTTGTGACTGATAAAAAAAAATGAGCAATTGCTCGTGATTTAACCTAAGTTAAAAATGACCATTTCACATCACCATATGATCTGTAATTTATGATGATCCTTGTATTACTTGTGTATTACTACACTTGGAGGTCTAACGCAAACTCACTGAGTAATTGAAGCCCCAGCATCAGCATGAATCCAGCAACGATGGCTGCTAGTTGTAGCAGCCCGCTTTTTTCGTTAGCTCGCTCCCTGGCGAGAACTTCAAAGAAGACAACGTACAGAAGAGTTCCCGCAGCCATGCCTTGAAGAATAGTCGGGGTGGTCCCTAGGTTGTCGCTGTCGTTTTTGAAGTATCCGAGAGCGAGTCCAGAGACGATCCCCAGAGGCGTCACAAGGGAAAATACTGACATGTACCCGAGGACTGTCCTCGTAGAAGCGCCAGTGACGTACAGCTCCATCCCGACGCAAAATGCAATTACTAATTTATGAGTCGCAATTGCTGCTGCCAGGTAGACCACGGAAGTGATCGATGGCTCTAGACCTACTGCCAGGCCTTCGAATATCGCGTGGAATGACAGAGCGACTACTGTCAGCAGCCCGCGGACGGAAGTGTCTGCTTGAGCGTGGCTGTGAGGCTTGTGAGCGTGGGAATTGTAGCTCGGAGGAGCCACGAACTGGTCTTCTTCCTGGCCAGCATCCACTGGTGGATCCATCGACGGCGAAGATTGCACAAACACCGCTGGGAGTACGTCAGTTTTGCTTATCTCTTCTCTGCTGGTTGGAGAGCTGCTTGCTGTCTTGTGCTTCTCGTCCTCGTCGTCGTACCGCAGCTTCCCGATGTTCCAAGAAGTTGGAGATGAAGCTTTTTTGCTGGTCGCCACCGTGGTTATCGTGGTGTTTGATGCTGAAACAGCCGCTTGCTTGTTGCATCTCCGGACTGAGACTGTGCGGTAGAGCAGATCTTCTGGAGATGATCGCTTTCCTGTCAATGTCGCGTGCACTGTTTCTTCAACGAAGTATACCATGAAAAATCCGATGCAGAAGAGTAGCTCTGCCATGCTCAAAGTTCCGATACTTGTTAGCTGGCCGTTTGACTGGTGTCGTTCCACGCTTTGACGGACTTCTGGCGCCAGGTGAAGAAATGTCGTGAAGAGTAGAACTCCACCGCCGAAACAAAGAAGTAGAGATGTCAGCAAACCCTGGGTTAATAATTTATTAATTTATTTTTTTATGTAAATATAATTTCAATTTTTATCAGAAAAAAATTTTTTTTATTTAAGATTAAATTTTATGATTTTATTAATTTGCTAGATAAATATTTTTTTTTTAGTTGTCTGAGTCAAAATTTGGTAAATATTTGCAAGTGGGGTCGACGATTTTAATTTTCATTTTTTTGAGCGAAATTTCTGTTTGATTTTATTGATATATTTCTTTTTTTGAAAAATACATAAAAAAATTAACAATTTAAAAAAAAAAAGTTGATTATCACAATTTTAGCAAATTTTTTAATAAATTGTGATATTCAATTTTTTTTTTTTTTTAATTGTTTGTTTTTTATGAACTAAAAAAAAAATAAAATAGAAATTTTATCCAAAAACATAAACGCCAAAATTTTTTTCAACTTTTAAAAACAAAAAAGCTATCTAAATGTTTATTGTTTCTTTTCACGACATTTTTTATCATAAATGCACCGTAAAAACAAGCAGAATAAAAAAAAATTTGAAAATGTTAATTTTTTGTCTAAATATGGCCCAAAATATCGAGTTGACCCCATTACCATTTATGGTAAGTATTTACAAGTAGGGTCAAACCATTTTAATTTTCATTTTTTTGAACGAAATTTCTATTTGATTTTATTGATATATTTTTTTTTTTTTGAAAATACTTAAAAAAAGAACAATTTAAAAAAAAAAAGTTGAGTGATAATCAACTTTTTTTTTTAATTGTTCGTTTTTTTATGTACTTTTCAAAAAAAAAAAAAAATAAATCAAAAATATAAAAAAAAAAAAATAAAATAAAAATTTTATCCAAAAATATGAGAGCCAAAGTTCAAACTTTTGAAGGCAAAAAAGCTATTGAAATCTTAATTTTTCTCCTTCACAACATTTTTTATTATAAATGCGCCGTAAAAAAAAACAGAATAAAAAAAATTAAAAATTTTTCACTTAGTTAAGGCCTGAAATAAAGTTGACCTCATTTGTAAATAATTACCCAAAATTTAAATTATCTTTTTAATCATAAATTATTTTATTGAAGAGATTATGCGATGCATAAAAACAAAAATCTGAATATTTTTTTATTTATACAATTATTTATTTTTTAGATAAATTAAAATTCACATAAATAAAAAAAAATATTTTCTCAACAAAAAATTTGAATAAAATTCTCAAGTTTCGAATATTGAACTTTTATACCGATTACTTAAACATATATCAGTCGGATTAGATAAAAATATCTTTAAAGAAGATATTAATAGATAATATGTAAAAAATTCCGAGAAACTCAATGAACTCGCAATTTAATTATAAATTCTACTTTTCAACTAAATTAAATTAAAAAAAATAATAAATTACTTGGGCCGTTTTGTCGATAGTCGAAGAAGCATTTGTAGAAGTGCTGGAGCAGTTAGAGAGCGCGCATTTTTGTCGTCTTCTAAACCTGCAGCGGCCAATAATCAGCGGAAGAACACCGAGTCCGAGTGATCCGAGTCCGAGAATAAACATCGCGGCTATTTTAGCTAGCAATAAAGACATTTGGTTTGTCTGGTAAGACACCGTAGCTTCCGAGTTCTCCATCTCCAATATGTAATTTTCCAATAACAAAATCTCCAATATAAAAATTTCCAATTTCCAACCCGAAGGTTTTACTTATAACTGACACAGTGCACTTTCGAATCGGTTCTATTATTAGCGTTGACCAACGTCAACTTATCACTGGTTGAATTGTTCCCCTCTGAGCTCGGACTTACGTCGAATGAGCTTACTTAACTCGATAGTGATATCATTTTGAAACAAACATCCTAGACATTCAAAAGGTCCACCCAGTATAACAGCAGCCATAAGTCAATAAGAGAATAATAAATAAACATAAATAAATATAAATATTAAGTATGTTAAATACTTAAATGTATTTATTTATTTCTTCTTACTGTTATCGTCTGCTCATAGTCCGTCACTACCGATTTCTTCTTTACTTCAATCACATGCTTTGCTTGATATCTTGTTTAAGTTTGCTTTTAAAAACTCCAACAATCTTTGTGAAATATAATAAAAAATAAAACATAACTCTGATAACTTATCTCGCCAAGAAAATTATATACAGATATATATTGAGGGCCACAACCAGTGTGACAGCAAAACAAATTGCGATTTTTGGGAATTAAAATTAAAAAAACTACTGAATGAATTGTTTTAAAATTTTAAGGGTGTATTAATACATATTTTAAGAATATACTGTTAAATTTTTGAAGAAAAAAATTAAATATTTTCCTTTATTAGAGTAGTGAAAAAAAAAAAATTCTTGTTAAACTAAAAGATATTGTCCGTACGATGACCCACGGTCGAAAAAAAATATCAAAAATTGACAAAATTCCGGCGTTTAAAAAAAAAAAAAGTTGAATTTCATCCAAAATTTTGGCCCGCTAAAATTAAATTTTTGATCAGATAAAAAAAACGCATTTTTTTGTACCTGCATTGATATCATTAATAATTTATTAATTAATTATGCGTATTCATCAATTTTTTAAAATAATTTGATGGTATGAATATAAATTTTTATTTATTTATAAAAAAAAAATCTTGGAATGTAATAAAAATCTTTTCAATATTTAATTTTCAAATTGTGGAGCAAATATGAAAGATACATAAAAGTGATAAGAGACTTTTTTTTTAAATTAAGTTCTTTAGATAGAAGAATTTGTTTATAAGTAAAAAATATTTATTAATATTTAACAAATCATTCATTAGAGCCCACTTTTTAGTCCTTAACTTTAATAATTTTAAATACTAAGAAAAATTTGTTTAATACTAAAAAGTGGTCTCTAATAAATGATTTGTTAACAAATATTTTTTAATACAAATAAATCCTTTTATCAGTGTAATGTAACAACTGCCGAGTGGCAACTCTTTAAATGGCTATAAAAACTATTTGAGACATCGATTTGAAATTTGAGTAAAATATTTAAAAATATAAAAAAAAAAAAAATTGATTTTTTGAAAATTTCACACTGGTTGTGCCCCTTAATTATCTAAAAAGTTTATTCTTGGCGTTTTAATTTACCTCAGTTGCATATCAGCAGTACTAATCACGTAAAAAAATTAAATTACATAATAATTATCTTTTTTTTTTAACTTGTTCTTCAAAACATAAAATGAATTAAATCTTTTCTTCATTCACTGGTTGATATTTATTTAAAAAATAAAAAAAACTCCAGCGTAAAAAATTACAACTGACACCGACACGTGTCCATTGAAGATATCGTCAGTGAGTATTGAGTAATTAATAAACCAAAATCAAAATGAGACAATACAGAGGTGTTACATCAGCAGATGACCCAGGAACACCTGCTTGCTCATGACTAGGTCTGTTCCATAATAAAACTCGCGAGCGTCACGTGGGAACGTCCTCGCGAATCACCCAGCAAACTGAACTCGAGTAGAGACTCCAACTCTACTCCAACTCGTGGCTCGCTGGTTGTAAGTATAAGTACAAATATATATAAATATAAATAAATATATAGCCAGTAGTCAGAGTTTGAGTGAGCGGGCTATCCCTTCGCACGTCTTACGTCGCTCCATCCATCCCCTTCCTTTATATTATTACACTAGCTGTTTTCACGACAAATCAAGCTTCTCCCTCTTCCTTATATATCAGCATCCTTTTGCGAATTCCCCTTTCTCGCTTTACTCATTGTCGTTTCTTCTCTCTTGCGCTTTTGTAAAATGAAATGAAAAACAAATCATCCTCCTACTCTGCTATGTACTCATACGCTTAAAAGTCATCGCTGGTCACTATTACACGGTACACATATCAACTGCATATATGAAGTTGCATATCTTCACAGCCTGGCTTATTGTTTCCTCGTTGTTATATCTCTATTGTAATTCTGAAAGTCTAAGAGCGTAAATCAAAACATCCATGTCGTAACAATCGTTTAAGATATGTTAATTATTTTAAATTATTAATTTCCTAGTAAAAAATTTACCTGAAAATAATAATTATTAGCCTTTTTATAAACAAGTTTACTCCTTTTGTGCGTACTTGTATCAATGCGGTGCAGTTGGAGCAGTAAATAGGCCAGATGACGTTAAAGATTCCCAGTGACTTACTTACTCTTCATTGTCTATATTCACCTACATTATTAAACTAGTTCCAACTTATTTATTCTCATTTCTCAATTATCATTTTAACCGCTTAATGTCATATTTATTTTCCTATATTAAATAAGTGTAGTTTACACCTTTATCGAGTTAATGCGTCAAATATATGTATTATTGATTTGATATAATGGTAACTTTAAAATGATACGCAATTTAAAAGATTTTCTAAAAATTTTTTTAACTAGTTAATTATAATAAAAAAAATTTCACATTTTTTTATAATAATTTATTTGGTTTAAAGTTTATAGAATTTTTAGATTTCTGATAATTTTATTAATATAATAATACTGAAAAATTAAAAATTTCGATAATTATTTACAAGTTGGGTCGACTCATTTTGGGCCATGATTAATTTTTTTTTTAATTGTTTGTTTTTTTATGTACTTTTCAAAAATAAGATAAAATAGAAATTTTATCCAAAAACATGAGCCAAAAATTTTTTCAACTTTTAAATTAAATTTCTATTTGATTTTATTGATGTTTTTTTGAAAAATACATAAAAAAAGGAACAATTAAAAAAAAAAATTGATTATTACATTTTTAGGAAATTTTACAAATTTTCAAAAAAATATTCAACTTTTTTTTTTTAATTGTTCGATTTTTATGTACTTTAAAAAAAAAATAAAATAAAAATTCTCTCCAAAAAAATAAGAGCCAAAATTTTTTTCAACTTTTAAAAGGAAAAAAGGTATTTAAATCTTTATTTTTTCCTTTCACGACATTTTTTATTATAAATGCACCGTAAAAACAAGCAGAATACAAATAAAATTTAAAAATGTCAATTTTTCACTTATTTATGGCCCAAAATGGGGTCAAACCATTTTCATTTTCATTTTTTGAACGAAATTTATATTTGATTTTAGTGAAATATTTTTTTTTTGAAAAATACATAAAAAAAATGAACAATTTAAAAATAAAAGTTGATTATCATAATTTTTAAAAATTTTTTTAGAAAATTGTGATTAGAAAATTGTGATATTTCAACTTTTTTTTATGGTTCATTTTTTTATATATTAAAAAAAAATATATCAAAAAAAGATAAAATATAAATTTTATCCAAAAATGAGAGCCAAAATTTTTTCCAACTTTTAAAAAGTAAAAACAAGCAAAATCAAAAAAAAGTATTTGAAAATATTAATTTAAGACCCAAAATGAGGTTGACCCCACTTGTAAATAATTACCAAAACTTCTTGGGTCAATAACGTAAGAAGATATCCATCCAATTTGATCAGAAAATAATAAAATATTTTCAGGAGTATGTAATGACGTCTTAAATATTCATTAAAAATTCTAAACCTATAAAAACAGCTAAGATATAAATTTACTTAATCTCTAGAGCATATAATAATACCTTGGGACCGGTTCGTTGACGTCAAACTCAGATCAACATAACATGAATAATAATATTTATATAAAATGTAAATATAAAAATAATTATAATAATAAAAATTAACGTTATTTGTATCTAAACTTACTTGCTATCTGGAGTCCAAACATCAGAATAAAACCGACGATGATTGATAAGTACTGATGGAGTCCATCCCGATTGTGATGCAATATCTCGAAAAATACGACGTAGAGCAGAGTTCCCGTGGCAATTCCCTGTGGTATTTATTTTTTTAGGATTAAATTTGGTGTTTTTAAGGTCGAAATCTTTCGTAACATAAAACTTATTCATTTATTTATTTATGTATTAGGGAATGTTTACCTGGAGAATGACGGGGAGAGGTCCGCTGGCTGCTGGAGTATCTCCGCCAACAAGCAGCATACCAATACCAATACCCATCGGCGAGACAATTGCGAACGTACAAACGTAGATGATACTCAAGCATTGGTGCGTCCTTGAAGCAACCAGTTCAACTCCAATACAGAACGCTATGACGAATTTGTGAGCAGACACTGCAGCGAACATGTACCTGTAAGAGTAAAATTCATTAAATTAAAACATTTTATTACTTAAATGGTTTTTTATCTAGGTCAGGCTGATTGATCGAGTGGAAATTTTAGTTTTTAGATTATTTTTAATTATTTTTTGTAATTCTTAAGTAAATTTTCTTTGCATAATTTGTTATTTGGACATTTTTATGGCTGTAATAATTTATTATTATTATTTTGAAGAGTTTCATTGTTTTGATTTAAGAAAAAAATTTTTGAGTAATGTAAAATTAATTCAAATTAAAAAAAAATTTTTCTACTTAAATAAAAATAAAGCTCTTCAACATAAATTTTTTTTGGTTCAAGAATTTTTTTCTTAAATTAATTTAATACTAGCAACCTTTCAGTCACTATATGACTGCCGTTACTTGTGAACTATAAGTAAATAAAATTTTGTTTTATTAAATAATGACTTTTGTTAAATTGCACTGCACTTTGTTAAATATTGACGTTTTTAAAGATATAAGCTCATCCCGATGTTATACTCATCAAGAGCTTTCATTTGAGTACCCACATGCATTTTTATATATTTTTCATATATTCATATGTTCATATATATAAATATATAAAATATATGAAAAATTGATGTGGGTACTCGAATGAAAGGTCTCAATGAGTGTAATATCGAGATGAGCTTATATCTTCAAAAATACCATTAGTTGACAAGATAGCCAAGTCAGTTCTTAATTATTAACATTTTTTAAGATATAAGCTCATCCCGATGTTCCACTCATCAAGAGCTTTCATTTGAGTACCCACATGCATTTTGATATATTTTTTATATATTCATATATA